TAAAATAAAATAAAATAAAATAAAATAAAACCAGAAGCATCACAGGAAATGCTTCGGACTCACTTGCTTCACCAGATAAACTCACTATGCTTCAGTGTCAGTCAGGTCCCTGTTAGCTCTCTAGAAATGCTTCGGACTCGGGTCACTGCTTTGGTTAATAACTGACAAAAATGCTGCAAATTTTGACCAGACAGGTGTCGCTCCACCAGGACCTTTCTGGGTAGAGTCTTTTATGTTTTCTCCGTGCTCTCCGGTGTCCTCTCACAGACCAAAAACATGACTGTTAGGCTATTTGGCAACTCTAAAAGGTGTGAGTGAGAGAGTGAATGGTTGTTTGTCTCGTTTGTCTCTATGTGTGGCCCTGTGATGGACTTGTNTCATTTGTCTCTTTGTGTGTCTCTGTGATGGACTTGCGACCTGTCCAGGGTGTACCCCGCCCCTCACACTGTGACTGCTGGATATGGGCACCAGTGACCCCCTTGACCCTGAAAGGAAGATAACTTTTTTAATGGCAGGGCTGGGGTGGGGGTGAGGCAGCTTGAACAACTCAAGTAACTCAAGTGAACCGTATTACTTTAGCGGTTGACTCAGATTAACACGTTTCCATGAAGTGGACTAGATTTACCAGCTCCACTATTTGACAATCCTGTATCTGATATTTGGTGGAGAAATGTTGACATCTTTTGTTAGCTTTCTTGTTTCAAATTACTGAATGTCCTTTTTATATATTTACAAAAATCAGTTCATTCTTACAAAAAACAACATCCAACGCTCATTGGCATTGCTTTTAACAACCTAAATTTGCTAGAGATCCATTGGCCTCAGATTTACCCAACATGTAATTATTTGGTTTCTCTTTAGTGACCACACATCATAAAATTTATTGAACGTCCCATTCTTGTGTCTTTATGAAATGACACCGTTATGACATAAATACTTTAAAAGAAGAAAATTATTAATATGACAAATACTCTTTAAGTCATAACTGCTTGATTCAAGCTTTTTTGCATCATCTCACATTCTAAAACTGGTCTGGCGCACACACTCGGCCCAATGAATGACGGCCCTTTGATGGCACAGATGTGGTTTGCCAAAGGTGCCAAATGTAAATGAGCAACGTTTCATGGTTCTAGTGAGAAAATGCAGGGCATAGAAATAATGTTAGTAAAACAAGTCAAACCATAAGACAAACACAAAAAATTTAAATTGAAGTCCTAAGTCATTGTGCACTCTTAGGCAACCATATGCCACCAGTGGGAGACACTGTTGTTCCATTTCTCAACCTGAATAAGGGTGATCAGAACTTGTTAGTTTTGGTAATCCTTTGATGTCATGCATCTGGTTTTTAACAAGCGAAACTCAGAGCTCACAGGTCCGGTTTACCAGAGATGTAACTTAAAGTTCCAGTCAACAACATCTTTGGGCATTTTAGTGTTTGTTTGAGAACATCTGTCCTTTTTGTTTTTCTCTTCCTGGAAATTTGAGAACAAGAAAACCTTTGAAACACACACACACACACACACACACACACACACACACACACACA